TTTGGAACCTCTTGCAGCCCCCCCCGGGAGACACATGCTTTGGGCTTTCACCTCACGACTTATATTAGTATTCGGACTCGGTCTCGAACTTAATCTCGAACTTGACCTCAGATTGGACCTCAAACTCGGTCTCAAACTCGATCTTGGACCTGACCTCAAACTTGATCTCAGACCTAACCTCAAACTCTATCTCATACTCGATCTCAGACTCAGCCTCAGACCAGATCTCAGATCTCGGACTTGGTCTCGAACTCGGTTTCAGACTCGGTCTCAAACTCAAACTCAGAATTGGTCTCAGACTCAATCTCGAACTTGGTCTTGAACTCGGTCTCAGAGTCGGTCTTGGACTTGATCTCAGACTCGGTCTCATTCGATGAACTTTTTATCATTTTAGTTATGTTTTCAGGGATCCTTTAGCCTACAATACTTTGGGGAGTTGGTTCTTTACAACTAAGTTTTATACTATTTTGATATACCAGTGGCCTAATACAAAGATATAGATATGCTAATTAGTATATGGTATCATAAATCTCACAAAGTGTAAATTAATATTTATCACTATTTAATTTTAAATATTTATATTTTATTAACTTTATAGAACTAGTGTATTATTTTTGGTAACTTGATTTGTTGTTTGCATAATTTGTGCATTGGATCCACATACACTAGTTTAGCTCTTGTAGATCAATGTTGTATCTTCCATTGGGAATAATAGTCCCATGTTCATTTATAAGTTAATGTTAATATATAAATAACGTATCTCAAAGAAATAACCATTTTACCATTTAAAGAGAATTATTTTAACTCCCCTTTTATCTAAACCATTAGATTTGAACGGTTTAGATTATCTCTGCGAATTTAGGGCTTTACAAGTGGCTATGGATCCGACACAACGGATGTTCGTCTTCCTCTTTGCAATGATAAGATGGATCTGCTCGCCATCGCCAATGTTTAGGCAGCTTGGATCCCGCAGAGCTCTCCCTCCAGCTCTCGCCTTCGTCTCGACGTGAAGAGGTTTTCCATCCCCTCCCTCTCAACTACAGGACGGCCTGCACTTGGGACGAGCTGATTGAGGAGCTCGGCTGCATCCATTTCGACGCCATTGCCTTGCTCCCCAATGCCAAGATCATGGTTGGTCCCGACCATTCTGAACGCAAACCGGCTGATCGGCTGACCGTGGTTATCGACCGGCTGTGAAAATGTCGAACGGCTGAACAGTTCACAAAAATTTTTTGATAAATAAAAACATTTTTAATAAAACTATATTAATAAAAGTAGAAAAACCAAAGCAGATGATCCCTCATAGCCTATAGAAGCACTCATAGGCTGAGATTGATTAACACTTTGTGTACCAGCTCCAGACATGGTTGGTCCTGACCGTTTCAACCGCTGACTGGCCGACCGGCTGACCGTAGTTATTGACCGGCTGTGAAAATGCTGAATGGCCGAACGGTTCACAAAAATTTTTTGATAAAAAAATACATTTCTAATAAAATTACATTAATAAAAGTAGAAAAACCAAAGCAAATGATCCCTCATGGCCTATAGAAACACTTATAGGCTGAGATTGATTAACACTTTGTGTACCAGTTCCAGAAACAGATACCCCATCAAAATGCCTACTCTATAGATTTGCTATAGAAGGTAAAGACAAAAGGGCATTTGTGATTTGCTCCACAAACATTCGGTAAACTTAGTTCTGAACATGAAGAGGAACATTTAAAACATTACATGCTTCAATATCATACCTAGAAATTTTAGTGAAATGCACCTTGATTCATTTCGGCAGACTACCATACATTTTTCCACAATAATTACATTTCCAACGCCCAACTCTTTTGCCGGAAGCATAAGGAGTGAGCTGTGAGACACAAAATCCCTAGGCCCCAAAGTGGAGCTGGATGTAAGACACAAAATCCCTAGGCCCCAAAGTGGAGCTGGAGGGGCGCCACATGGTAGTGGCCAAAGCGAAAGCCAAACGAGCGTAACACGTTTGGACTAAAAGCTCCGCCTTGAAAGGTCAAGGGCGGGAGTAGAACTCCCAACGAAGTGCTTGAGGAACAAGCACAAAGAGAGCAATAAGTGAGGCTCCAAAAAGGGACCCAAAAGGACCAACACATGACACGTGGAAGTGTCCGAAATGGACCCAAGATGGAGTCCAAGATGGACCCGAGATGGAGTCCGAGATGGAGTCCGAGATGGAGTTCGAGATGGACCCGAGATGGAGTCTGAGATGGACCCGAGATGGACCCGAGATGGACCCGAGATGGAGTTCGAGATGGAGTCCGAGATGGACCTGAGGTGGAGTCCGAGGTGGAGTCCGAGATGGAGTCCGAGATGGACCCGAGATGGAGTCCGAAGTCGAGACCAGGACCAAGACCGAGACTAGGACCGAGACCGAGACCGAGATCGGGACCGAGACCGAGACCGAGACCGAGGCCGAGTCCGAGTCCGAGTCCGAGTCCGAGTCCGAGTCCGAGTCCGAGTCCGAGCCCGGAGCCTGAGAGGGTGAAAGCCCAAAGCGTTCGTCTCCCAAACCCTGGGGGGTTTGATGAGCTCCAAAAGTATAGTAGGGGGAGGACTGCAGTGGAGCCAGTTTGGCCAGGAAAGGCCAGTTTGGCCCAGGAAGGCCGGACCCAGTGTTGGGTGATGAGCTGCCCATTGTGAAGTCCAAGACTAGAGTGAACACGGACCGACAAGCGGGGTAGCTTGGTGAAGTGTTCAAGAGCTGGCTCTAGTTCCCCCGGGAGATCGACTGGCCGATGCTCCCAGTCCAAGTGTGGGTGGCACTACCTACTTGGATACCTGTCGTGGCTCTACAGAACCTCGCTCTAAGCCCATGGCTAGAGCACCTAAAGGCGAAAGGCGGGGAGAGTACCCATGAGGCTTGCGTAAGGCCACGGTGTTCCGAAATGGTGTCCCAAAGTCCCAGACTGTGGAAAGGAAAAGGAGTAGCCTCTGGTGTGGTGACAAAGGACACGGTCACCCAATGAGGAAGTCCCAAAGGACAGTTGGACTTAGAGGTCAGGCCTGCAGGCCTTGATCCAGTGGCAGTGTTGGTGAACACGGCCATCGACAGAGAGGGACTTGGTGGGGACCGGAAAAGAGATATTGGGGAAAGTTATTCCCTAAGTCTGCAAGCATCCTAAGGATGCTAAGGAGTGGATCTGGGATGATCACTCATCGATGGATGGCCTAGTCTATGAGAGACGGGATTGCAATGTAGGTGGTGTTGAACCACCGGTGTGACTAAGGTGAATAGGTATGGCCTCAGCGTAACGGGCCGATATGTCGGTGGTACCTTGGGGTGTCGATCATGGGATCGGACATGTGAAGCACTTAGACCAAGTGCAAAGGTTGAGTGGCATGGATGCCATTCTCGGGGCTAGCAAGCCCCAAGTCCTAACTGGGACTTGTGGAGGTTGTGAATGAGACTCCTTCAAGTGGTCGGAGGTGTGGTTAAGTGACTAAAGTAAAATGGAAAAATTAATCACTTACATGAGCTTGGTAACATGGGACCATGCCCAATTAGGCACCATTGCTCAATTGTGCCAGAATTGCTAGAATTGCTAGAATCAAATCTTTGAAATCACTGGAATCGTAATTTCCATTTTATGGCAAAAATTTCAAGCGTCGCGGACTGGGCGATTTGTGAGGCCCCAATGAGCTGCTCCACACTCAATCGAAAGCAGAGGCCGACCGACTGGAGAGTGTCGCCCTGTAGAGCTCAGTACGCACGCAGCTCCTATAGGCTATAGCCCTCTTCGTCGGATTCTATGTAGGCTTGCTAGGCTGGGCATTTGTGGATGGATGGATCGCTCCATAGTAGCAGGAGAACAGCAAAGCAGTGAAGATGTAGTGGTGATGGCAATAGCTGCAGCAGCATCAGAAATCTAGCCCCTGCGAGCGCGATCACCATTTTTTTCGCTGAACGGAATTACCGAAAGGAGCTGTCCGACTGCATTTGGCGGCGGTCGGGATTTCGGCCGAACGCGGTCGGGACCAATCATGGCCAAGACGCGGCAAAATGCGGCCATCATCCAAGGCATCAAGCTGCCCAAGGAGCTGGCTTGGATGGCGAAGCTGTCCAGAGGTAGGATCGACGCGGACTCGCTGCTGTGCCACAAATTCATGCTCACCTTTCGCTACCATTTGGATGTGAACGATCCAAACGTCGTCGCCATCGACAAGGAGCACGATCACCAGGGCTTGATCACGCAAGAAGAAGAAGAGCTCTACATCAATCATCACCTCCCTCGAGCTCAGGCCCACGAGATCGTGTGCCACAGTCTTCATACCGGTGGCTGGATCCGGAGGAGATCGACAGCAAAGTGGAGGTTCTCCGTGCTATCAACTTGGACGTCGAGGTGAGGAGCAAGAGCTCGGCCGTTCTTGCGCATGGAAGCGACACTGTTCTTGGGATCGAGGTCGTCAGTGAGCTGAGCAGCCGGCAGGGATTGAACAGATGCGAGCTGGAATTCTACCTGCTGGCGAGGTCGTCCAAGCTTCCGTTTTTGCAGCTGGTGACTGATTTCAAGGGCGCCGTCGTGTTCTACCATCGATTTCCACGCACAGGATCTATGAGCTGCGACACAATGTCGTACGCCACCTTGAAGAAGCTCGTGAAGGTGATCGCGCCGAGCTTACCCCGCAATAGTTCGGAGTTTGAGATGGCTTGGTCCATTCTGGGCTGGAAACGCTTCGAAGACTCAGAGGATGAGTGGAAACGTTAGAAGAAAGCATAGAAGCTTTAAAGGTGTCTGAGACTTTCCTGTTCGAAACAAACCTCAGCCGAGAGAGAAAGTAAATGTGCTAGAAATGCGACAATCACACCACTGGAGCTGGAGAAAGATCTTCAAACGGGAAACAGGGAAGTGATGATGCTATGGAAGGCTGAGATGGAGAAGATAAGATGTGGTGGTCTTTCGAATTTCACCTCAATTGTTGATGGAATATAAACTAAATGAATGCTCTTGGATGTATACAAACAAAGCAACAAATTCAGAAAAGAAAAACTGCCAGATCTTTGCTAGAGGTTTTTCCATAGGAAGCTCATGTCTTTAACATCAACTCCCATGGAATCGAAACATTTCCAGACTCCGAGGAGCAACAGCCTGCCGTCTTTGTTGGACAAGTTCGCCTGGCGAGTTTCTGCTTCGTTGTATACAGAGCGAATAGGAGTGGCAAGTCGGGCATTGTGGACTTCGAGCAAGAAGAATAATTTCCTCGATGCAATCGTCCGTGCTCCACTTATGGATGATAGGCAAGAACTTTTCTCATGTCTGCGACGATGAGCTGAAACGACGGCTACGTGTTTAGAGACAGATAATCAATTCACGTTATCTTACGTTGATCTTGCTCGCATCCAAATAATTGTGCGAGTTTTCTAAATTGCGGACAACGCTTGTCTTGAACTTGTGGTTGGGTATATGGACAGCTTCCCAGTCTTCGCATCTATAACTGTAGGAGACCACGTCGAAAGAAACTAGATTACGATTTGCTATGACACACAAGTTACGCATAGACAAACCTGGAAAGTTCGCAGGAATTTCAGGAAATCGTAGGAATTGACACAACTTGGCTTGTTTAGGACGCCCTGTGAGATATCAAGTGAAGACCAAGATATCTACCTGCATATTTCGATGCTAATCGTTCGACACTAGTCCCATTCACGTCGCTGATTGAAACAGTCCAATGTCAGCTAGAAAGAAATGAAATTCACGAACTTTATACTCTATATTCCCACCTGGAAGAATATTAGTTGGATAGACCCCAGCGAGCAAATGCTATGACCCCGGACACATTTTCGTTGAGAAATTCCAGCGGAAATCGTTGCTCTTAAGCAGCACCATTTCGACCAAAGAATCCTGCCAAGCACCGTGCTCTCGATGGAAATCGCCTGGCGCTGTAGCGGCGGCAGTCCCTAGTCCAATCTGAGATAAGAGAGGAGTAGAGGAGATTGCGGCATACCTTCAGCGAACTGGGCGCCACTGCTCAGCCTCGCCATGGCCTGGAACCCTAAATTTCCATTCCCGCCTAATGCAAGCATATTCTTTGTTCAAGATTAGATAAAGCTTAAAATTGTTACGCTTTAGTACAAAAAGTGGATGATGGGGAATATTCTTCTTTCTTCTACTCGTAACTCTGCGAGAAAGAGGCAAAAAGAAAAACAGTGAGAGCTAGCCGATGAAAACGATCAAACGAATAAACGAGAGAGTACTTACATTGCGCTACCTCTTCCCTCTGCCAAAAGATCGAAGCTTTGAACATCGCCACTCCAAAATCCCAGGAGATCGAAGAGAGCGCAGCTCCCAGCGACTCCAAATCCCCTCCCTCTGGCTGGGAATTCGCTCCAAGTCGCTCCCTTTCTAGCCTAGAATTCCTGTCGCAATGAGAAGAAACCAGAGGAGGAGCGCGCTGATGAACAACAAGCACGGGTAGCAATCCGCATCGTTCTCGTCCTCCACAACAGCGGATCGTCGTCGGGATCGTCGTAATCGTCGTCGGGTTCGTCGGCGGTCGCGGTCGCGCTTACGCTCGGATATTTCCTGCTGGTAGTCGCGTAATCGCTGCCGGAGCTCCTCGCGATCGGTGCCATCGCTCCATCGCTCGTCGAAATCGAATGCCTCGAGCGCGTGGCGGCACAGCGGGCAAGTCCATTCGGTACTGGCCGTGGAGCATGACCTGATCGATGGCGCGCTCTCCACCCATTCCACCAAGCACTCGAGACAAAACCAGTGGCCGCAGTCCGTGTGGACGTCCGAGATGGCGCTGGAACAGATTGGACAGGCCTCTCCTTCACCTTCGCCGCGATCGCCATCGCCATCGCCATCCCTAACATCCATAGCTGCCCGGCAAAGAAGCACAAATGCCCCGCTCGCAAGCTTATATGTTGGGATCGGACGGTCACGATGCGCTTGATCTGACGGCTGGCGAAACCCCAACGGTAAAGCAGTGGAGGGCGCGGATGAAAATGATCTGACGGCTGTTAATTTAGGGTTCCATTCTTCCATGGCGCGATGAAGGTATGGCGCGAGAGTTTTCAATGCCGCTACTCCTCTCTCAGCTCGAATTCTCATGGATTAGGAGCTGCCGCCGGTGTAAGCGTACAAATTCCATCGAGAGCGGGGGCTGGGCTCTTCCTTCTGTCCACGAGTAGGCTGAAGCCTGAAGCTAGGTTTCTCGGGCTTGTTTTGTGGTAATTGGTGCTTGGCAGGATTCTTTGTCGCTGCAACCAGCTCGTGAGATTGTCGAAATGCCGCGGCCTTCGCAAGGAATTTCCCAAGGAAATTTCTGTGTCGCAATATCTTCTAGGTGGAGACATATAGTTCATGAATTTCTTTTCTTTGTAGCTCTGACAGTGGTGTGTTTCAATCAGCGACGTGAACGGGACAAGAGTCGAACGAAGTACATTCTTCGGTAGCCTGTGTTGCGATCATCGGAATATGCCGGTAGATATCTTGATATTTCTTCTTATGATTCCTAGAACTTTAGATTTTGCAGGGCTCTAGACGATTGCATCGGAGACTGTTCTTTGACAACATTGACCCGTGAAACCAGTCTCTTATGGTAGAAACCATCTTCTTGTTCTACTAATTCTTCTTTTTCTCTTTTAATGCAGATCATGGTTTCATGCTTCGTGAACACCTCCCACTACGAAGAATATCTCTGTGTGAAGGTTAGTGTTTACTCTGCCACTGCTTACTTTTTTATGATTATGATTCTTCATGGCAGGAGTCTGCACCTGCGCAGCATGTATTTGCAGGTCCCGGCTGGTAAGCCATCTTTCAAGTCAGTCCTGCTCTCAAGTCAAGTGTTTTAAACTGAATCACAAAAGGAAAGTCTGCCTTAACCAGCTTCGATTTACCTCCTGCTTGGATCTCTCGCAGCTCTGATGAGGCAACTCCTTTTCAACCTTGATCCAGCTAAGTTCCTCGTACAGCTGTTGATACATATTTCTGACAGTTTGCAACATGAAAAAGAAGAAAATCTAGGTGAGAAGAATTAAGTACCTTGAAGAAAGCTTCCTTCTGGGGCACGATTTCAGGACCAGTGGAAAATTCTTGTTGTGAATCAATTTAATACTATTAATAAATTTTATACCAAACATGGAAGTTTTTTTCTCTCTCTATAGATTGTGTTGATTTGATTGTTGATTCAATTAACAAAGAATACTACCTTGTTAATTTGTTTTGAAATTGAAAATACCACTCCATTTAACTTTCTCCAATTCAATCTTCCAGAGCATCATGGATTCCTCCTTTCGCTTATCTTTTTTGGCCTGGAGATCCTATTCAAGCTCGAGAGCAAAATAAATGTCCCCCTCCATTGCCTCTACCTGCTCCTCCTGAGAATCCCCCTCAAGCACAAGATCCTCATTGTCCACATTCTTTTGGAGGATTTGGCTCGTTTCCCCATTGCCAATCTGAATTTCTGCCAAGCCCTCCTTGTGTTCTGGCTGCTCCAAAACCTCCTCAAGCATGAGATCTAGCATCTCCTCATCATCCACATCCTTGAGCTTTGACAACAGAATTTCAATCATCTCTTTGTCACTCACTACAATTTTTACCACCTCAGGGAACACAAGAGGGATGTGCTCCTCCTCATTTGGGACTTCATTCTCCTCGGCCAGTGCCATGATTCTAGCCACCTCCAGGTCATCCATGTCAAAATCTTCCACGTCCGCCACCCGGATCACCGCCCCAGCTTTATTGCCCTATTGACCACTCTACTTTGCTTGACTTTCGTGGATCAGCAAACCCTTGCTCGTCTTGTCTTCAACTGGAGCATGCTTGAGCTTTATGTTTTCATGTGCCATGCCAACTTCCTCAGTGCTGCTTGATCTTGGCCACTTCATGTAGGTAGGTAAATTTTTTCTTGCATAAACTACAGTGATACCTTGGTTGGCCGATGTTGTCATTGTAAGTAGTCAAAGTTGCCACACTCACCTTGATTGCACTTCATACAAGTTGGGTGCTGCTGTTTCAGGTACATTTTCAACTCATCCACACTTCCAAACTGAAGGCCACTCTACTGGGAGGATAAGGACCGAAAGGACAAATGAAAATCTAAAATACTTCCTTTTTTAACAAGCTTAAGGGATGAAATGTGTGTTTAAAGTTTTGTTTAAAGGGAGTTTTATTAAACCTCTTTTAATTTCCACCCTTATATCTAGATGCCTCCATTTCTTGTGGACGCTGAGACCTGCAAAAGAAGAGCATGTATCAAACAAAGAACTGATCTATAATGTAAAATCTTGTTGGAAAACTCACTATCAGGATTCTTCAATAACTCGGAGACGTTGCTAACATTCGCAAAAGCATCATTGATGAGGCTCTTGAGTCTGCTCGTGTCCGAGTAAAAGATGTATCTGGGAACTCCTCTGCAGTAGGGATATTGATCTTGCATATCCATGATGTTCAAGCCAACTGCCTTGGCACATCCTGCAGCGTCCAGGGCTCCATATACACGTAGATTCCCTGTTTTGCAAACTCATGGTGATTGGATTTCACATCAGAAACGCACTGGAGAATTGGTCCCGGACTCTCAATGTAAATGGAGGCACCATCGACGATAGTCCAGGTATCCAGCTGCTCCAACTGCAACACCATAGTTCCTGTGTCAGAAAATGTTGACCTGAAGGCGGATGAGCTATTCAAACTTGACACTGAAGATGTTCCTGGGGCTGCAAGGCTGCGAGGCTCAAGGTTTGAGAATCAGATGAGCTTAAAATTTTGTAAAAGGTTTTTCATTTAAGCTTATTATATTTCCGTATTTCTCTTGAGATAATCAATGAGAACTAGTCTCCATTTCTTCTTTTCCCGATGATTTGTACAAGAAAATTCGTCTTTCTGGCCAGCTTCTCTTGAAATAGGCAAAAAAGAAGAAGAACAGTGAGAGCTAGCCGAATAAAATGATCAAATGAGTACGTATATTGCGCTATCCGTCAAACATTTTTAGAGCGCACATGGATTCAGTGACGTCGTCCATCTCGCTACATGCTTTGGTTTGCGGGATTGGATTCCTTTGCCGGCTCCATGTCGCTGGCCATGACAATTCGACCGCTCTACAATCTCGTGAAGGAACATCCTCACCAATCATCCAGCATTGCATGCGAGTGAGCATCAACGTGCCATGCAGTTCATGCAACCGTTCCCATATTTCTGTGGATCTGATAAAGTATGTGGCATTGTTCCACGATGAAGAATTTTCGCCCGAAGAAATTTAAGAGCCTTTTTTCATGGTTGGCTCTGCCACTAAGTCTTCCATTTTTTCTTTTCCGCAGTTTGCTGCCCAAGAAAAAATTGGTTCTTGCAAGAGAAAACTTGTAGGATTCTCAGGTAGCTCGTTTGGAGATTTTGAGAGAGTGTTGTCTTACTTTTCTTGTTTGAAAGCTTGTCCATGAACACAGGCGATGGAGATCTCAAAAAAAGTCTGGGCCTTCGAAGAACATATTGGAGGATTGTCTCGTGGCTTTGTATTCAGGTAGTATAGCTAATTGTTTCCTGCAGCTTGATCAATCTTTTTGCAGCCATTTTTGCAGTCTTGGGGCAAATACGATTGGATGTATGGTGTGTATTTCTTCTTTGGCTTGGTTGAGCTGACGAATAATCCGGCTGTAAAAGTGCAAAGGTGAGTAGATTTTTGGTTGTCATTCGGATTGATTCTCTTGCTGTACCAACGAGAAGTATAACTTCAACAAAAAGTTACAAAAATGCACTACTTTTCTGCGAAGTATTCAAAGGACTCGTCTGCTACGTATCCAAATGGGGAATACATCCATGGTCTGTTGTACATGCCTCGCGAGGAGTTTATGCTGCCCAACGTGAAAATGCGTGGCTCCGGTTTATGCGATCACTCGAAGCTCTTCGTTCAGAGCTTGATCTGAATCATTGTTGGAGACAGTGCTCTAGCTTGGACCGAGAAGAAGTTTGCAACATTATCAATGCCAGGAAAAGATTCAAAGATGATCTCAAAGCTGCATTTTTTGGCAAGTATCCAGCTTCGTCTTTGAATGCTACTGATGAGGTCGATCTTGTAGTATCTTGTTGCGATCTAAGAAGTAAGCAGCGGAAGATTGATGTCCTTCCCAGCAAATACCACAGTTGTTTTATTGCAAACAATCCATTCGTTCGACTGCTTGAGGAACTGGCGAATCCTATTGCTGGTGACAAGATTGATTCAGATGCTTTGCGTGCTGCCATGGAAGAGATTATTGACGTATCACTGGACGCTGCAGTGTGAGACTCGACAATTCTATTGAATTCATGCGTTTCCTTTTGTATCCCAAAATTTCTTGTGCAGTTCTGGAATCATGGTTCATGGAGCATTAACTCCGGACCTTTACAAAATCACAAAACCCAATACTACAACGGCACCTCATTATTAACCAAAGTGGAACACCAAGGTTAGCTGGAGGCGATGATGATCATCTTGACTTACTAATTGACGCTGAAGTAAGTCTTATTCTTTCCACATTTTCCTTCGTCTTTTCTGTCTTGTCTTAAATGTTTTTGCAGGACGCAGATGACTCTGATGAAACTCAAACCGAGCATGGCTTCTGGGTCTTGGTTCGTGACAGAAGAGTTCAAGGATTAAGCAATCTTGTTACAGTTTTGAGAGTGGAGCGTACATTGAAGTTTGGAACGTTTAGCATGATAACTCTTTAACCAGAATACTGCTACATCAAGCTGGAGCTTGTGTTTCCAAGAAGGATGGCAGTGCAAATATGAGAAGTGGTCGTTTTGCTCCAATCTTTCTGCAAGCTTGGGGCAACAACTGGATATATGTATTTTCTTTTCGGCATTGTCGAAGTGGGGAACAATCGAGTTGTGAAAGTGTGGAGGTGAGTATAACGTTTCTTTTCGCTGATCAAAGTTGCGATTTTTGCAATGAAACGATGGAACGAGTGCCATCCTTGAGCATTTTGTCGAAGTTCTCATCGCCCCTGCTAGGACTCATTGTAAGGACTCGAGTGCTACGTATCCAGACGGGGAGCACGTCCATGGGATGCTTTACGTGCCTTGAAAGGAGTTTACGCTGAGTTCCTGGATCTGGTTCTAGCGATCATACCAAGCTCTTCTTCCAGAGTTTGATCCAAATCGTTGCTGGAGATGGTCCTCTTGATTGGACTGAGAAGGATGTTCGCAAGATTATTGATAGCACGAAAGATGATCTCAAAGCTGGATTTTTTTCCGAAAATAATTGGTAGAACTTGATGGATCTGTTTATATTACAATGTGAATAGAAAATGATCGCTCGATATAAATTCCAGAATCATGGAATTCAAAGCATTCGATTTTTCAAATAATAAACGTGGAAAGACAGAAAGGACAGTGGCATATTCTATAGAATATTTTGGAAATTAAATTTAAGTTTAGCGATTAGGATAAGGCCAAAGCATTTCGCGAGGAATCCCAGCCGTCCGTTGTCGACGAGCGCGCTTCTTTTGTATAAATAGCTAGCTAGGAGCGGTTTGTTCTTGCGATGGTCGCAGCTCATCTGGATGCCGATCTCTATCAACCTGCTCAAAGTCATCAGCCGACTTGCCACTCCTATTCGTTCTACCCAGAGAGTATTCGACGAAGCATAAACTCGCCAGACGCCTTACAGAAACGTGTCCAACGAAGATCGCAGGCCGTTGCTCCTCGTAGAGGCATCGCCAGTGGCAGCCGAGTCGGGGAATATGAAGCAGGAGGCGACAAATCACTGTCGCTCTTATCGAAGCAGCGAAACAAAGCATCTCCAAAGACAGCTCTAAAAGGTTTGGCTAAAGACATGAGCTTGATAGGTGCGGCATTCGACAAACCTCCAACAGTGAGCCAGCGACGAACAGAAAAGCAGGGAGACTGTAGAAAACACAAAGAAGCATTCAGGGAAGCAGGCAATCATGCTGGCATCCTGGCGGAGCTGTTAGAGAACAATATTCATCAAGGTCCGAAGTCTGCTCGGATTTATCGGCATTCACTGAAGGCGACTTAAATGCCGTCAGCGATGATCAAGCAGAAGGTTGTGTACTGTTTGGAGCATCACTGGTCGATGGATATTACTGCGTGCCGGGATGAGATGCAACTCAAAACCATATAGTCTCACATTTATGATTCACAT